ATTAAGTTTGGATGAAGAAATATTGTGATGTATAATAGACATTTTATATTAGAAACACAAGTTAGAAAAAAAAACTGGCCTAGTGTTCATACACTGGTATGAATGGATGGTTTGCTGCAGCACTGTAGAAACAGAAACAGTTTTGTTTCTTAATTGTATTCGTCAGAGTTATAAGCAACTGTAAAGGGAAGGTTATAAGAGGTAGTTGGATTGGATAAAACTTGTCTAAATTGACCAATGTCCAGAGTTTGAGCTGTTTGTTAGAATGTATTATTATGTATTATTATTATGAAATCTACATAAAATGAAGATTTAAACCCTAAACCTTGACATTTTATCCTGCTGAACTGGCTATGGGATTTTATATATACTGTACAGATAAGTAAGTGAAAAGGGATAAAGGAGGTTGCCACTATTGCTAATTTGCTAGATCTGCTTTGTATCCACTCAGTTATTTCTGATTTAATTAAGAAGTAGAAAAGAATACAAAATCTGGAATTTTTAAGCAGGCCATGCAGAAGGGCTACTTCCGCATCTCCAAAACACGGGAAATCTTACTGACAAAAAGAACATGCATAGTGTAGTGTGTGTGTCCACACATGCACACCCAAAGCAAAACAAAATTGCTTAAATGATATACCTTCACAAAACATATATCTTCACTAATCGTATTCACCAATTTAGACTGGATACAATTTACTATGCATTTTAAAATATGCACAGTTCATCTCACTGCAATGAGACCCGCAGTCACCAGGTGATATTTGTACCTACTGTCACAAGAACCAAAATGCTGAGAGAGTCAAATGGAGTAGAATGACCAAAATTTGAACCTAGAGAAGAATACGTGTGGTACAGGAGCAAGCAAGCTGAAGCAATAAGGAAATCAATTCTGAAATAGCAACCGGAAATGCAGTTGTCTGCCATGCAGCAAATCATGTTTGATCCAGCAACGTAACAGTCAGCAAAAAGAGCTGATGCTTGATGGAGGGCTAAAAAATGCAGATAACAAAGGAAACAAAGGAAGGCTGCAGAGGGAGTATTCAGAAGACCTCCTATTCACACACACAACTATCATCTATGGAGAATTCCTGTCTTCCCAGGAATGCACCACCAGGTCAGGATGCAGCAGGACAAGTGAGTATGTGGGGGGAAGTGTATGTTGCTCAAGCAATTGCTTTCATAGGTTAATATAGACCCTCTGTGTGTTCTTTTCAGCATTTCATTACTGCATAAGATCCTGAAATTCAAATCTGTAACACTATCACTGCATACTACTACTGCCAAAGAGAAAACCAAACCACAGAGTGGTAGTCTAGCCTCCAGTTATTCTGAAAGGCTTCTGCTCTGTGTGTGCCCCACTGAAGCACAGAAATACTTGCTTGCCAGATTTTTCCCCCACTGGGAGCAATTCAGCAAGACTGGAGGCTTACGAGAGAAGTGAAAGGCTGCATGTTGTCTGTGGCTGCAAATGCCTACATGCAATGCTGGAGGATATGGATGGTTGGAAGCAGAGCCTATGGTAATTTCTTCTGCAATATCATCCAGAGGGTATCCTTCCTTATGTAAGAACCTAAAATGATACACAAGCTGATTCTAGAGTGTCATACCTTGTCTGTGTGCAACTGTGCACAGTGTGCATGAAAAGCAATCCATCACAGAACCGACTTTCCAGACTCGGTTGAACTCTGTAATATGAGATGATAGATACACTTTCATTTTCAGCAGGATAAATCCATCCTTTGATTCTGCTTCCTTCTACATCATAACTACCTCTGACAAAGTAAAACATGCACAGCTTGGCAAACAACAGCCTGTGGTAGGAGGAATAGAAATGGTAGAGTTTTTTTCCTCTTTGGCATCTCTGATTTTCAGCCTTCTAGGCCCTTGCATAAACCTGAGGCTCCTCCCACCTCCAACCCAGATCCTCCACAGTTTGGAAGTTGCTTTTTTGTAGGAAAATCATTGCAGTTTGTTTGTTTACTTTTCACTGCTTCTGGCTTCTGAGGACCAGTTGCATTGTTACTGCCCCCATTCAAATGCCAGCACACATAAAGAGGCTTTTTTTCTTTTTCTCTTTCTCCCCCTTCCTTGCCCCTTGGTTTTGTCCTCCAAGGGATCATTTTTATTCAAGTGTGATGAATGATGTGAGCAGAGTACCAGTGCTGGACAAAGGGCTGCATCAGAGCTGGCCAAGCGTACAGCTGCCTTTTTGTTTACAGAGATGAGAGATGTAACCTCAGAGGTAGAAGATAATAGACAAGACTATAGAAGAAGCCTGAGAGTTGGCTTGATTCTGCTTTCCAGAAGCCAAGTAACCTTTATTAAACATAGATCATGTCAACTCTTACCAAGAAAGAAAAAGCCTCTGAACTCTGCCATTCATGTGACATAAAGTAAGGGAACTATAATATTCAACTGCTTTAAACACTAGTGTACACAGCCATTACGGGGATCAACAATATTTTGGCCTGCTGAAGCAACAAAGTTTGCAATCATCTATAATTATCCAGTTTGCGACAGAACATTTGAGAATGCATAAAAAGGAACTAAGTTGGATATCAATCATTAAGATCAACCAAGAAAGCCCCCTTCAATATATCATCCATTTGCCAAATCATCACACAGTTGAATGTCCTCCTATAATTAAACTGTCAGTTGAATTACCTGTAGAGTTCTGATTATAATTCCCCTCACCATGCAATGATTTCACATTGACCATTCACTGGTGGCAACTAATTTGATAGGTCGACTGATCAGCTGACACTTAGCTGATTAATTGGCAAAGCTCAGTATGAATAAAAACATTATTGTCTTAGATTACTACAATTTATTACAGAATTAATCAGTAGGACAAATTTTAATTAAGGTTTGTTTTCTTTTTTTGCAAATATTTGGCTTTAGATTATGACTGTTTTTTCTAATTATGAATGAGTGCTTTTACTTGTTAGGGTATAAACGCTCTTTCTAGTGAAATTCAAATTTAATTGACTACTCAATCAATTGATTACTCAAGTAAGAATTGCTTGACAGTCTTAGTGTCAGAGTTCAGCTATCAGTGTCTATCAGAGGTGAGGCAGGAACTGCAAGTTCTCTCAAGGACTTGTGCTAAGGAGCTCCCCAGACCAAGAAACATGTTGTTGTTTAGTGAAACTTCCAGTCTAAACCAGAAGTATTTATAGACATTTCTGTCCAAGAGGAACCCTAAGTGGGCAGTGCTTGTTTAGGACGTGAAAATACTTCCCTGCAGAAAGATGTTCCAAACTGTAATAATGATAGCTTGCTATATGGGCCAATCTGACATGGGTTAGTGTTTTTAGTATTAACTCCATGTGAACAGTGGAAAATCTGAAATGGATGTATAAATGCCTATAGGTATCAAGGATGCCTGTAATGATAACTTGGGAATTTGTTGCCCACTTTTCAGTTAACATAAGATTCTTCTCACTAAATAAACAAGCTTTGGTTATTGTACATGCTATATACCCCCAATAAATCTAAGATAACTAGGTAGACCATTCAAGCTTGGATGGCAAGATCTTTTGTATATAAAAGGCATACATCTTCTGTCTGGATATCTCCAAATCAAAACTACTGGGAAAGCTACATTTTCTGATATGAGTAATGGGATGGGTCAGAGGTTAAAGAGACTTTGAGTCAAGCAAAAGTTGTTGGTACCTGGGGGAGTACTCTTTTTTTCCCTTCTTGGCTCCACTTAATTGAATAAACTCTATCTTTTGCTTAACTTTTCAGTTTTCTTATCTATTGTTTCTCCAGATACTGGCACACTTAGGAACTTTTGGAAATCACTGGAATAGGTCCAATCTTAGAATAGCTCCACTGTTGTAAAAGAAGCACACAGCAGAGTTTAACATGAGTCCCAAATCAAATTGAAGTTATTTGCAAGCTTCATATGGGATGAAGTTGCTGGTTAAATGGTTGACAAGGATTTCCTGTGTTTCTGAACTAGATTTATGATTAGATTATGGCTAAGCAGTTATTATTCCTTCAGAAAAAAGACAATGTGGGGTGGTCAGGGTCACAAAGTTAGAGCAGTGTATCTACTCCTCTAATTTTGTTTAACAATTTGTAAGTACCCAAGAGCTTTGTAAGAAAATAAAGGGGCTTGGGGGAGGATCACTTTCCTCCAATCGACTTGGACTGGCTCTGACCCTGTCTGAGCCACCATGCTGTTTTTGTTTTGTTTGCAAAATAAGCAGAATAGGATAAAATAACAGGAAGTGTTGAGAAGCAAGCCCTAAGACATTCGCTGGGATAGCTGCCAAAAAGGAGCCAGACTGGCAAATTGCTGTCAGTCAGAGTTTGCAGTGTCATCTGTGGCATGTTCAAGTGCCTTAATTATTTTCATGCTAGGCCATGTGTAACAGCTGAGTACTCCTGCTTTCCAGTTGCTGTTTTTAGTGGTGAATGGGTTAGAATGCTATTCTCCCACATCTGGACCAGTTGCAGGAGCCATAGTGCTAAATCATGCCTACAAAGTCTCCAGAGCTACTTCACCTGCAAAATCCTAGAAATGTATTGACTAGTTTATACCCAGCAATAAGCCATAACATGGTTTGTTTGAATGGTGTGTGTATCCAGCAATACATAGTTGTTTCTATACTTAAATAAACCATATCTTAGCATGATTGTGAATCCAGTCACTAAACCAGTACATTCTATCTAGATAGTTGCACCTGAGTCCCAATAAACTCTGTTGGACTTGTGTTTAACTGATTTCTTTGGAAATGGTCCAACAAACTTGGTTTGAGTGATCAAGACAATGCTTTTAAAACTGCTGCATAATTCTTTATTACAGAGTAAAGGGGAATTGTATGTAAGAGCCTTCATTTTCAGACTTACTGAGCTATATTTAAATTGTGTTGGTCAGTGTGCAGGTCCAAGGCTGGATTCATACACCATGCTACACAAAAGTGTAGTTATTTGGTTCATGGCTCAGTGCATTATGTGAATGCAACCAATGTGGTTAATTTACAGTTCAGTGTGATGTGCAAAACCAGGTAGCTGGATTAATGCAGTAATTACAAAGTTCAAGTAATCATGCTTAGCATATTTACAAACAGTGCCAATATGGGAAGCAATGTGGGTATTTTTATTCTTTTTAAATTTAGAAGAAGAAACTTCCAAAGAATGAAGGGACTAGTAAAAAGAGTTGAAAGGGTAACTCAGGAAGGTAGAACACATGTTTTTCAGATATTCTGGAAAAAAATGAAAGAGATTACAGTAAGAGAGGCAGAGTTAAAATTCTGCTGTATGCAGATAATATTTTTGTTTTATAGATAAACCAGAAAGGTTTAAGCTAATCTTATCTTGTTAATATCTTATATCTGATTACTTACAAATTGGAAAAAAGATATGTTGCCATTTTGTCTCACTGACAATTTTGATTTTTTGTTTTTGGCTGTATGCTCATTCCTTTGTTTCTCTTGATACAGATTTATAAAAAGTGTTCTCATCTGATAAATTGAATTTTGGCACAAATGAAACAAGACCTCGACAGATGTTCTAGAATTATTTTGAGTATTTGGAGGTAAGATAAACATGATTATACTGAATTTAAGGTTGACTTCTATTTTAAGAGCTCTTCCTATTTTTATTCCTCTACATTATTTTAAGAAAAGCAATATGCTGTTAAATAACTTACTTTCACGGTGTTGGAAAGGGCTATTTAAGTCACTGAGTCTAACCTCCTGCCCAGTGCAGAAATCCAATTTAAAGCATTTCTGACAGATGGCTGTCTAGCCTCTGTTTGAATGTATTCAATGAAGGAGAGGCCACCACCTATCTGGGTAATTAATTCCACTGTCAAGCTGTTCTGTCAGATGTTTTTTCCCTAACATTCCATTGGATTCTGCCTTTCTGTAGCTTAAATCTGTTATTCCATGGCTTGCTCTCTGAGATGTCAGAGAATAGGTCTTGGCCTTGTTCTGTGTGACATACTGTCACAACCCAACAGGTGATTGCAATTTGCACAGTAAAAATCTTGAAGTTGAAAAACAGAAGTAGTTGGCTGTTATAAAGGGCTTAGTGTGAACAATAGTTAACCCAGTGAATGTGTCCCAAATGACTCATCACACCATGGCTGCACACAAATCACACCATGGTTACACACAGTTGCCTCCCTGCTCCTTTAGGCAAGAGTCCCAGCATCCTTTTAATGGATTGCGCTCCTGAATTTCCTATTTACAGTGGTACCTCGGGATACGAACGCTTCTACTAACGAACTTTTCGGGTTACGACCAGCTCTGGCCACAAAAATTTACCTCGATGTGCGAACTCCGCCTCGGGGTACGGTCATTTTTCCGCCCTGACACGTGGTCCGCGGCCATTTTTCCGCCCCTGACATGTGGTCCGCGGCCATTTTTCCGCCCCTGACACGTCCACGGCCATTTTCCCAC